AAACAGACTGCCCGGCTTGGCCAGTCACGTGAGAAATACTAATACGGAATTTCCGGAGAACATCGTTCAGCGCGACGGGCTTTCTCCACCCCGAGTGCAGAAAGCAGTTACAAGTTGCACAACCTGGTAGGTCACATGGAATGGTGCAACCAAGCGCAGAAAATATGACAGCCGAGGCGCAGTCCAGCACAGTGCTAAAGAATCTCTTGCTTATTATTTTTGCGACGTCTGGAATATCACTGACTGACACTGTAAGTCGATATCAGCGGCGTTTCCAGAGGCGATCAGAGCCTCAGCCATCTTACCACTTGTAAATTTATGCTGACCTCAAGGCTTTATCCAGATAAGGCGAAATTTTTCGGTAATAAAACAATCTCTATTGTCAACAGCCAATGAAACACCGATACAAAGTGATAACAAGCCCGCTGAATACATTCCACAGCCTGCCACCAACATACGCCGGCTGTAGAAAACAGTTGTTCATGTAGATATACCTATATCTTGCTTCTATAGGCCAGTTGGGGAGAATTCCCACTAAGGGCAAGTTTTCGCGACAGAGATATATAACAACCATCTAATAATGAAACAATTCAGCTTATTGTTGCCGACAGGGTAAATTTCATTTCCAATTCTCCCTTCCGACTCGGCAGACCCCTCTACGGGTGTCGCGAAGGGACAAAGTCCGGGTCGCGAAGGGATACATGCCGGGCGGTGCGGTTTCCAGGCAGCGCGGCGGCCGGCCCCGAGAGTCGGCGCCTGTTGAGCCGGTGGTGCAGTGCAGCGACCCGGCAGTGGGGCCCTAGCAGCTCAGCACATCAGCGGCCGGCCATCGGCCGCGACCTCCGACCCGCCGCCGCGGCACACCGTGTGCCCGTGCACTGAGCATTCGCCTCTGGCCGGCGCCGCGACACGCCAGACTCCGCGGCGGGCGACCGATCTAGTGCGGTGCGGACACGGACAGACCACAGATAGCCTGGGTGACAAAGCCGCTCGGCGCAACACTAGAGCATTACTTAGAAAGTATTATGTCAAAATAGGGACTGCGTTGCACATGATCGGTCATCGTTTCCGTAACAAATGTTCGACTATTCCAATTATAACCATCCCCAAAACGGAAACATACACAGCTAATCGGACAGAAATAAGTTGCAAAAACGGGTGGCATTCGCTCATAGAAGAGAAAAGTCCTGTGAATCTCACGTCAGTTACCATCACCGCAAAATCAAGAAATCAAGTCCATTGCATCCCGTCTATTCATGAATATGCGCCTTCCTCCTCCAACTCTTAACTCCACGGATCAATACGCAGTGAAAACTGACAAGATAACCATAAAAAGACTACTGACCGAATGCATCTCCATCTCGCTTCAACATTTTCGTGAGGGTCTACGCAAAACTACCAGCATTAGGTACCTACCTATTACTGATATTGGACATAACGTTAAAAAGTGGCATGAAAAAATACTCATGCATGTTGAAAAGAAAGGAAATCACCGCAGTCAACCTTGCTTGCCCTTCATAACTGAGCAAGATGCTGAGCTGGAACTTCAACACCAGGAAGCGGGGCAAACAACTCAGGCAAGCTCAGGCATTTCCATCCGGGGAATAAAACCCCGCTAGGAAATGCATCACTTCATACCGTACACTTTACTAGCAGGCAGTCAAAACGACTTACGGAAGATAAAAGTCATTGCCTTAACAAAGGAAATTGAGGTCGAATGGACACTCGAGCTATGTGCTTTCTTATCTAATGTCACTGAGTACAATATTTGACGTGGGGACTGGGGATAGTTCATCCAACTGCATTACAGCACTGTTGATTCAATGATACAGACATAAGTAATCGTTAATGGAAGTTGAATTGGATCAAGCACAAACGCTTCATTAAAAAATGGCATTCTAACTAATGACATGTCTTAGTTTTCAGGACGCCTATTGGGGGCGATAAACGGGCGAACGCAATATTTATGCGCATGTGCGACGCGAGACCCCACACTGAAGCGTAAGGGTCAAGCTTCAACTGACCCCTTGCGTCGTACTAGCTTTGAGCGCATTCCGCCCAGCCGTTTCCGATATTAACCCTCGCCCGCACATGCCATTTTCCCATCCTAGAATGCACATGGGGGGGGGGGTGCCCCCCCGTGTCATTTCGTTCCTGTTGGAGATAGAGCTTCGCGGTAAAGACCAAAAAGATTCTTTGGGAAGAGACGAATCCAATGATACCCAGTTTTACCTTCTCAGGTCAGTCATTGACCTTCCAGGTCAGGTCAAACTAAAAAATGTTGCTGTTTTGGGTCACCGTTGGATATCAAGTGCGCTGCTTATCATATACCGATGACGATGCCGTTTTCTGGTGCCAAGCCAGCTAGAACCTCTTTGTCACACTACCCGACCAGGTTTTTGCTGATGAGGTCATTTTAGGTCAAGTTAGGTCAAGGTCAATGACATGTGTTTGTATGTCCGTATGTGTCTGTGTGTACATATACTGATGTGTGCACCGATTGTTTATGTGTTCATATTACATGAAATCATGATCTGAGAAGCTTTTACCAAAAATGCAGTCAAAAAACTTCACGAAAAGTAAATTCAGCTTGCCTAAAACGCAATTATTTTAGATGACCTAGGTCGACCTTGACCCTGACCTTGACATCTGTACATCGTCAAATAACATGTTCCATGATAGGTGGGAGGTAAGACTGGCAAAAAATGCCGAAATCAATGTGTCAAAAGCTCACACGGCCCATAGCCAACGCAAGATGTTGAGAATTGGTCATTTGGGTCATGACATGACCTGAAAAACAAGGTCATATCTCCGAAATCAAAAACCACAGAAACTTCAAAATTTCAGTGGACATCAAGAAAGGATAGAGGAGCAGCTATACGAAAAATCAGGCTTCTAGCTCTAAAAGTGTTGAGTGCAGGGCAGAAAGACTACCTGAGGGGGGTGGGTGGCAACCCCCCCCCCCCCCATGTGCGGGCGAGGGTTAACCCGCGACCGCCTGGGGGGGGGGGGTCGGATCCGACCCCCCCTCCGTTTTTCTTGAATAACTCATGAACCGCTTGCGCTATCAACTTGAAACTTGGCATACCTTCTCCCCCATCAATTTGACGTCTCCTGTGCAATTTTTAAGAAAAAAATTTGAACAAATTTTGAGATATATCGATTTTAGTGATGTAACTACATGGCGTTTTCAGTCAAAAAATGGTAAATGTTTAAAAAATCGCCAAAAATCGAGGTTTTAAGCAAATTGCAAATTAAGGACATGAAAAGACGCAGCTCAACGAGTTCTTTAAAATGGCTATCTCGGATTTTCCATAAAATGCGTTTTTCACCCCTAAAAATTCAAAAAACTATATTTTTTGGAAAACAGCTAATAAAATCCAAAATTTTGAGAATTTCCAAAAAACCGGAATATATGTTATAGAGCTCTATTAGAACATTAGATGTCCCAAATTTCAACTTTCTATCTTGATTTTTGGCCCCCAAATTGTAAAAAATAGCTCCAACATGCATAGGGCATGGTGACGTCATAAGCATTTTCGCGAATTAGAGGCACTTCTGAACATCGCATGTAAAAACAAATGGCACCACTAGATTCCTGGGACAAAGCTCGTCTAGAAAAGTGCATTTTTATGTCAAAAATAAAAAGTTGAAAAATTGACTTTTTTTCTTAGCCCTCGTTTAGTTATGTATGGTATAAACGATTTTTTATGCTTTCAATGCACACTTATCACCAGCACAGTGACTTGGGGTCACATATAACCATTACCATCGGATTTGGCGTGAAAAATGAGCCATAAAACATGTGTCGCACGCCCATGTAGCAGAAAGTGAAAACCGTGACCTTTCGTGACCTGACCTGACCTTGACCCGTACTTAGTATGACCCCTATACGCACATGGTAACTTCACTAGGTCTTTGAGGTCATTTGTGGTGAGTTTCGAGCAGCAGCTATCGATTCCGCTGTCCGTAAGCCTAATCATGCAAAACCCCTGAATTTGACCTTTGACCTGACCTTGACCCGAAAGTTGACCTCAATCTTAAAATCTTAAGAGTGCTTTGGGAAGGTCTCGTAGAGACCTTTCGAACGCCGCCTCGCGGGGCTCGATACGACCATTGGTTCTCGAGATAACAGGGGGGGGGGGGGTCGGATCCGACCCCCCCCCCCCAGGCTGTCGTGGGTACGGAAATAGCCCAGGCGGTGCCGGGTTAAGAAGCGGTCGCCGCACCTGCACAAGTCAAAACCCCCAACTGATTTGTGCGGACCATCCCTTCAGCTGGTCCCAAACGGCAAACGGCGTGCTGAATTTGAGCGAAATCGGTCCAGCCGTTCTTGAGATGTAAAAGCGGCACCCTGCCCTGCACGCGCACACGTTAAAGCGAGAACCTATGCAGTGAGGCTTGTGCATACAATTTTTCTCACTTTTCTAACCACTTCCAAGCGACGTACCAAATTATTAATCAATCATCTTTCCAAATTTTATATCACTGATCAGCGCGACACTCAGTTTATCTAAATTACCAAGAATACGCACGATCTTGGATTTTTTTCAACAAAGTGAGAAAAAACGCTGATGGATTTCGCATCCTTCGACACCCTCATTGATGGAAGTGAAGGATTGATTTAGCCATAAATGTAGTCAATTGTGCCGGCTTTCGATTTGCTGTTGATGCTACCAAGAAAGTAGCTATCCAGCATTCAGACTTTGACAGAGACGCAGCATGCGGGAAAGCCACTGCATTATAATCTAGCATACCACCAGGTGGGCCATCAACACGCGGGCAAAGCGTCTCCCACACCTAGACAATCATTTGCTACCTGACATTCATAATCTCGGTGCGTGGGTCATTGGACAGCGAAGTGAGTGGGCGTTGGATGAAATCGAGAGTCGAATAACGTAATCAATAAATGCAGCCAATGGGACAGTAAAACACACAGCACACACCACACGACTGCACTTAGACAGTGGTTGAGCACTGTGCAGCTGCTGTGTCCTCACCTTGTTTTCCGGTTGTTTGTACTCAATTTTTAGCTTCTCCATGGCGTTTATCATGCTCTGCATGGCCATGAAGATGTTCTGATAGACGAGCTTGGTGAAGCCGCGCCGATCCTCGTCCGTATATCCGACGCCATGGATGATGCGCATCTGTTTGATAAACGTCGACTTCCCGGACTCTCCCGTTCCTGGCGACAAACATCGAACACGTCATGGTTAAATGGGAGCTTACGCACACCAAACACATGCTGGATGGGACGGATTTATAGAGTGCTTCAAAGAAATACAGCCCCTGCTTGGCGACTACTAACAGAGGAAAAAGGATGGTCAGACAAAGTAAACACAACAGGTCAGTGCAACACATGACTGAAGCCATCATTGAGGCAATGGTGATAGAGAAAAGTAGTACATCATTGCTATCAACAGACTACTTACACAAATGCTTCTGCACAATAGACCAATAATCACAAACAAGACATGACATGCCTACACTTCTAAACACACTTAGAGAAGGCCAGTTCATACTATGGTTAGTAATGCCACAGACCCAGTGAATGTGCAGGCAGCACTTCCTGGTTTATATTAGGGTAAATGTTTAAGGCTACAAGGGGCAATGTCACATCTGTATGTTCAAGGACTTAATTTATGATACTGAAAATGAGATAATAGCTGCAGCTGGGGTTGCAGGGCCAATTCCACAACAAAAAGAGTAGGACCATAGCCAAATATAAGTACCTAGGACCCTAGAGTGAGGTATTATGTGTCCCATGATCATGAAAGAGAGATCATATCTTAACAGTGTCTTCAGGTGATCCATTCAAAACTCTACTGTAGTGTGGTGACAGCTGAGAACGTGCTAGGTTAGCATGGCAAAACATTTCACATGAGAACAAGGCATGTATGACAGGGAGTCCTAGCTAGCAATGCAGGCATGTGATGACAATCCTAGGATTCTCTTTGTATGTTGACTGTTTAAAAGGACCTACCCTGACACTAGCATACATAAGTGACATTTACAAAGAATGATCAGTGCCTATTTTCATAGCATGAGTGACAGGTAAATGCTTCACAAAAAGCTACTAGCAGCCTTAATGGTCTGTTGAGCAACAGTTTTAGCACATATCTAAGTGTGTGAGCACTGAGCACAATAAGACTAGGTCAAGTCAAGTCAAATTAAGTCAGCTCAGTGTAGTGGCCAGTGGTCAGAGAGGAAGTTATTATCAGCACTCATCAATGAATGGCTTTGGCCTGAGTGGCATTGGGCAGACTCCTCATTATCAATGTGAGCCAGTCAGTGACTAAATGACATGAACACAAATTCAGCTTAGTACAGGCAAGCAGAAAGATAAGGTGCAGCTAGCATAAAAATCCAGGATCATGAATGGGACATGATGATATTGGCACTGCTAGGCATTGTCACTGGTGGTGGCAATATTTCAGCAGCTGCAAAAAGATCAGCAATAGTAGAGAATATGCAAATGGGATAAAGAGATGTGCCAATTAGGGTACCTAGAAAATGTTACAACCAGGAAACTAACTGGACATGAGGATACCAAGCAAAGGGAATGCCTGAATATTCAACAGGAATCAGCTGGTGGCATAGTAAATGGCACTGAGTAGTTTTCTTGCTGAAAATAAGCATGGTGAAGACTTTAAGCATCTGTTCAGCACAGAGTTTCACATTGTTCAGCACTTACATACAGTTTTTTTTCTTTGAAGCAGCACAAGGAGAGGACAGCCATTTATTGGTAACAAGGGAAGGTGATATGAGACAAGAAAATTATAATCATGCTTTGGTTGGAACAGGACCATGCTTAACCCGCGCACCGACGGGGGTCTGCGCCAACCTCGTACCGACGGGGGGGGCGGATGACCGCCCCCCCTGAGATCTCGAGAACGAAGCAAGATAGCGACAAGCGGTAAACGGCATCGGATACGCACGGCCAAGATCTACAATTTTTACTAAGGTCATTTTCAGGTCAGGTCAAAGATGACGTCACAGGGGTCGAAAAAGTCAAAATGGCGGCGATAGATATGGAGAGAGTTTTTCTCGAATAACTTTCGAATTAGTCAAGATAGGAACAAACTAAGGGCATCATCGTGATCCTCTCGTCAATCCGCATCGAATGATATATATGTTGACCTCGAAAGGTCAAGGTCAAAGGTTGACCTCAGGTCACGTGACCTCGAGGTCATCATGTATATCATTCGATGCGTCTTGACGAGCTGAACACAATGAGACCATCCACGCGTCTGTATCTTGTTCCTGTACGGAGTTATTGGCCAAAAACCTTTGGTGACCTTTGATGACGTCACATGACCTCACAGCTGCCCAACAGCAAAACAGACCTCAAGGTAGTGAAGGTTGATCGTATATGAAGTCATGTATGGTATATGGGGCCATTCCGACCCGTTTTAGTGGTAAAAACAGGGAGTTGATTTTTCCCCCATTGACTTATAATGGGGAGGTCGCGAAATTGACCTGACCTTAGGTCACCGATATCAAAATTCCGAGATATACAAATTGTAGCTACTAATGACCTAATAATATCCTGTGAGTTTCAAAGGCCTCCGACATCTACTGTAGCTCTGGCACGGTGACAAAGTTGCAAAAAAGTGACTTGAGGTTGGGTCATTCAAAGTGACCTGGTGACCTGACCTTAAAAGGTAGGAGGTTCAAACTTGCACACCATGTGTAAAATTGATGAGGTTATAGTCATACCAAATTTCGCGCCGCGGTTTTCCCGCTATTCGCGAAAAACCTCAGGGGGGGCGGATATCCGCCCCCCCCCCCCCGTCGGTGCGCGGGTTAAGTGAACACTACATGTCATGGTTGGATACATTTTCAGGATCAGAATTTATTGTATCATTAGGAGTCAGTGTTTCAGTTCCTGCTCCTAACCACTTTCTGCCTTCCTTAAATGACACTGGGAACCAAGCCAGGTGAGTTAACCAGGTGAGTATGTAGCCAATGGCTTGCAAGATCAAGTGCGCTTCAGTGTTAATATATGTGATGATTACTGTGGCAAAGGGCACCTCAAAAGGTAGTGACAGAAATACTAAAGAACAAATTATATTCACGAACAGGAAAATGTTGGCTAGATGTTTGTAGAACAAATGCCAGAAACAGATAACAGCTTAAACATAGATCCAGAAGTGTGATAAACACTTGAACACACATTGGTGACTGAACAATCACAAAGCATGATGTTTGGGTAGCAACTGGAAAAAATAGCTGATCAATTCTGACTCTGACAAGGAGTGATAGCAGCCACAGCAGCCAGACCAGGGTCAAGCAGTTACAACAAACTCAGAAAATATAAGTGACAAGGACAGAATCATGGCAGGCACAACATCTTGGTTTAGTACATTCAACATAATGGTTTGTGATTTCGTGAGTAACCACTAACCACTAACAATATCACAGTAAAGCAAGGTAAAATATGGGTCACAAAGACATTACACACACTGAAATTTGGATAGTCAGATGATTCAATTAGGAAAAGGTAGATAGTTCTCCAAGAAGGATAAAGTAGTAGGTATCTATCTGGTATATCAATGGTGAATGATCTGTAAGCGCACTAATCAAGAATAACCAACAACCATTAGGAGTAAGTGGGAGCCTATCCCCATCCTATCATGGTCCAGGTAAGGGTACGCAGGACCAGAGGGCTGTTCACGGGCCCTGTGTGCGGTCGGACCGCACACAGCCTCGAAGCTCCACCCACTTCGTCCCTACGTCAGCCTTCCGTCACCGCACACAGTGATCGCTGTGGCCGGTCGGGACTGGCCACAGCGGACCGTCCACCGCACGCAGCCGTGACGTCAGAACCGCCTACCCATCCCCTACCCCCATGCCTGCTGGACGCACCGCACACACCGCACGCAGCAGTGTGCGGTGCCCGTGAACACCCCTCAGAATAGTGGCACCTTATTTTCAGTTTTCTTATATAACATGTTGTTGCTGATTAATATGATAAAGCATGACACACAATAAGATAGGTACCTATAGCCTAAATAAGATCACAAGACACAGAAAGTTGTGGTGAATAAGAGAATCAGAAAAGTATGCATCACTTTTAACTGAAGCACAGCATGTAAACATTCAAGGGCCCATGAGAATGATTGATCGTATTGTCAATGTATATGGAGTGATTATGGACCGGACTGATGAAATTCAATAAACATAAGGAGAAAGACATTCTGGTAAACACCTTCAGCTTTTCTGCAATGGCACGGGAACTGGGGGGGCTAGGGGGGCTGAGCCCCTCCTACTTTTTGGCTGAGGGGGCTCGTAATGTATTTGAGCCCCCCCCCCCCCCAGCTGGAGGAATCGAAATCGGAAATCTACCAACACAATTTCATAGATTCATACATAGGCGCGGGAACCGGGGGAGAGGGCAGTGGGGGAAGCTTGCCCTCACAACTCTGGGGCCATGGGGGCGGTGCCTCACAACTTTTCATGAGGCCAGGAACCGTTGGGGCAGCTTGCCCTCCCCAAATTAGGGGTTGTCAGTCACAAAGGAAGAAAGCATGTGAGTGAAAATTCTACCTATTTTACTGACTCGGCAACTCATTTGGCAGCTTAAAACCTTTATTCCAGGTTGCCAAAACGGTAGTTTCTTCACTCAGCTGAGACGGAATACCTCACTTTTTCGCAAATATTTTCTTTTTTTCGTTGAAAAGGCCAAGGTCTGAAAAATAAGTGGCCTAAAACCGATGAGAAAACTAGATTTGGGGGTACCCTAGGTTGATCTCTATGATGGTTCAGCCCCCCCCCCCCCCCAGTCTGGAAGAAGTTCCCGCGCCACTGCTTTTCTGTAAACATTTTGATTTGAATGAACGTAAACCTTACCCAACAACAGTAGTTTAAGCTCCCTTCTTGCATCTCTCTTGTCCCTCTTCAGCTGCTTCTCAATTTCCTGGTTTATTCTAATTTGCTGTATAGCTTCTTCCGACAAACAGCAAGTGAACATCGTAGGTAGGTATGGCTGAGCGCGGCTTCCCTTCGCCGACTTCTGGGAGTTCGCCTTGTTCCCCGCGCTCTTCTAACACATCATCACATGCAAAACAAAAATAAAAAGATTCGTGGCATGTCCACGAGTTGGTGCACCACCCTCTCTTATCTTCCACGGGTCACATATATAAAAATGGGATATATCACGAATCCAAATACCATCCTTCACGACACACCAATTCGCTTGGGTGTGGACTGGCCAATGGTGGATGCAGTCAGTCCGGGGTGGGTCTAGTAAGAAAGCCCGGGTTGGCAATTTTTTAAAGTCTGAGGATTAACATGACTGACCAAGCAGCTCAATGGATACACCTTTTTTTCTTCTAGTTAAAAATATGTACTTTAAAGTAATTTACCCTCAAAATATAGAAGCAAAGCCACTATAAACCTATACCTTAGAGGGCAGCGCACAGCAAAGTGAACAGCCCATTTGCCGGGTGACATCTGGCGACACAAATATAAAGTACGATTTACCAAAGCATCTCATAGGGGATTCACGACCCATTCACTACGGTCTTATCCAAAATTCCTGTTTTATCAAATGCACGATGCAAACTTGATGTTGAGATTGTTAGAATAAAGAAAAGCAGAACAATATCTGACTCTCAAACACTGAAACTATTGATAAAAGATGAAACTCAAAGTCACTGCTTCTTAAAAGCCTACAATACCTAAAATCAGCGTCGCCGTCGACTACCATTCACCTTTCAAGTATTTACAGTAAGATTACAAAACGCAATGCATTTTCATCTCAAACTCATGATTAACACTTGAAAAGCTAAGCTTGTTTTGTATGTGTCTGGCAATATATTAAATACTGCAGCTTTTTACTTCATGTGCTGTCACCGCCCGGGATTTCACGACAAAAACTGCGCATTGCTGCGTAAAGTGAACGAGTCCGTGGTTCGTGTTAGAGTGTTATATTTTAAATTTATTTCGTGTTTGTTAAATGATTAATGGATCCGAAAATACAGAACCATAAATTTCAAGCTTGATTCCAGGGTATATAGCTTGATTCTACCCCGTAAAATGCTTGGGTAATGTGCCGAGCAACGTTATATTTCCGAAAGGGATTGATATTTCATCTTGCATTTTACTCATATAAATTTTAAGAAAATTATTGATTTAACCTATTTTTGATAATTTGATTAGGTGGAGCCAGCTTTCAATTCATCTGTAAAATTATTTACATTGCTATGTACCTACATTTGTTGTTTGTTTTATATGTTATTGATAAAAGCAAAAATATAAAATTGCAGAGTTACGAGAAACAATTGATAATAACTGGATCACTGGATGTCAATTCATTGTTCCAAGTTTATTTCTAAAATGTCATGGTTTCCTTTTTGGTGGAAAATGCCTACCTATAATGTGAGTTTCAAGTATCCAGACACACATTTTAAGTATAACCAAGTAGGCACCAATCCACCCAGCAGATTGTTTTCTGAGTTTTAGGATAATTTGCGCTAAGCAGTTATTTTTTTACAGTTGTAGCTTATCTTCAAAGCATGGGTGCTTTCATTTGGTGCTTGGTCACTCTGAACAACAGCATGTTGCTAGATTATGAAGGGCACTTTCCAAATGTGTATTTTACTGATGAGTATGATGACTTAGACTCATGCCCGACTGGAAAAAATGCCTCCACTACGCTGAAGTTCTCGGCGGAGATGATGCGCCGAAATTTCGGCGCAAGGGTTTATGCGCCGAAATTATTTTACCAAGCCATGCTTCATGCGCCGAAAATTTTCAAGGCTTACTGATGGCTGCAGGCTGTAGCCACGCACTTTTCGTCGAGGGGGGGGGGCTGGCGTGTGTGTGTGGCTGTCTTCCAGTGACTACTGTCTACAGACGGTTGTTGGCACGGTCGACGGGATCGGGCAGACAATAGACATCAGCAGGCCATGCGGGACCGAGTACCAGCGTTCGCTATCACAAAATCTCCTGACTCACAAACTCACTGGCATGTTCCATAACGTAACCTTTATTTTGTTGCCCGGCTCTGATCAGCAGTATGTGCCCAGCCGGTGACTGACGCCTGACGGGGCCTTCAACAGGCGTGGTGCAAGCACGGCCGATGGGATCGGGCAGATACCAGGCCACGCGGGACCGATTGCCAGCGTCCGCTCGCAAACCACACGCCGGAAATACAGGAATCACAACGGTCAATACGCAAACGATAGCATACGTTATCTGAACTAGGGGATCCGACAATCCATAACCTCACTCTCGATCGGTGAACTGTTCCCGCCGTGGGAGAGTCACAATCAGGTTCACTGAACATGACTTAAATACCCTGAGACGAACACGAGACAAGATAAGTGATATTTAAGATGTTTAACTCCCGAAGACATTTAACCCTCGCCGGCCGAGGGGGGTTGGTGCCACCCCCTGACGGGTTTTTCGCGACTGCTCCGGAGCCGTTTGCGATAGAGAGATAGAGAAAACCGTCGATTTACGCCGAAGTACGCCGAAAATTTCGGCGCAAGCCGTCGATTTACGCCGAAGTACGCCGAAAAATTTCGGCGCAAACGCCCAACTACGCTCGAGTTCTCGACGAAAGCGTGCATTTTTTCCAGTCGGGGACTCATGCATGCAGGGATGCCTAAGTATCAAGCTTTGCATAACAGTGTTTCAGAGTTATATGGTCCCTTATGGGATTACTCCTTGAAAGTTATAGTGTTCTGTATTTATGGTAATTAGAATACTGCTGTTAACACAACCTTTGTCAATGTGCAACTAGTGTTCTTTCTTAACAGTTATTGCACCACTCAGCAAATGAAGCCTGATTTACCAGATATATTTCTCTCACATGCTGATTGTTTTTTCAGATTGATGGAAATACTAGACATTGATCTGAGAGAATATTATTTCAATGTTTGCTGATTTTGAACACTGAATCCCAAGGCCCCTCAAGTGCTTTATCAGTGAACAAACTCAATGGTAAGATTATGTTTTGACAATGCACATATAAGTCCCCTTTTCCAGGATGTGCTGTGGTGTTTTTTGCAAGTAGGTATATTAATGCTGCTCAACATAGGTACCAATCCAGCACCACTTAATATGTTTAGCCCTTTATTCTATTGGTGAGGAGTAAACAAAAATGATCATAAAAAGATCATTACATATTATTTCAGTTATGAGACTTAGATAACTCCCAGTTAGAAATGCATTGCAGTGCAGTATCTTATAAATAATCTCATTATTGTTTAATTTGAAGCATTATCAATGAGGAGGGTCCAAACTTCCAGTAGTTAACACTGTTAAAGGGACCCTCCCACCTTCAAAAAAGTTTATGAATTGGCATGAAAGTGATGTCGCTCGGTTCAGAAAGAGCGAAAACGAATATCTACCAAATTCCACCGAAAAATATTCACCGGTTTTCAAGATATTAGACTTTTACTTTTGTTTACTTTTTGGGATCTCCGCTGTTCCTAGCGACTTTATTTAAAAGTGCGGCATTTGTTGCGCGCAACGCAGCATATACCACCGCGTGCTACAAAACGTTTTAGTCAAACATTTAACGGACGTTCGAAAGCCTGATGACGTCATCAGATTCCCGTAATGGTTAAGAGATAGGGACCACGCTGGTCCCACCCTGCAAGTAAAGGGAAGAAATTTCTTGAACACCATAAGGCTGCGGGGGTTGCGACCAGGATAAATGGTGGTTTCTGAGCCTGGCCGCAAACTTGGCTATCTCAACTCAAAACTAATGTTAAGGTGGGAGGGTCCCTTTAAGTACCTAACCTGTTCGTCTAGCTGTTGACTGGAGTGTTGTTTTATTGCAGAGTGTAGAAGAGGCAGAGTCAGAGGTCGCAGACAGCTGGGAGGAAGCTGCTGATTCTGGGGTAAGATATGCCAAATGATACTATAAAAGGATGTTTTATCCCTCCCTCTCCTACCTTGCTGATCAAGGTCTGATCCCTTCATCCAATCAGGCAATATTGAGTGCTGTCCATCTCCATCAGGAGTATTTAATCTCAGCGCAAGAGTGACTGTCTCGAACCCGTCGTCTCGCCACCGCGAGGTCGATGCTCTGCCAATTGAGATACGGGACCGACGACAGATGACACAACAGACGTCAGTTTTTCTAACAGTAAAATCACCGGCTTCCGGTATTTTTGCTCCTAAAAGTCTCTCAAGTTGAACCAAATAGGTGAAAAAATCGATTATGTGAAAACATATCGATTTGGCTGGCTGATATTATTTCCACGTCAGCGTTTTTTTTTCGCGTGTTGGTGGAATTCGAATTTCGAGGGCGAGGTAAGGCAAAAACCGCGACCGGTGTTTTTCTTTTGGTAAAGCTGGTAAAACTAGCCTCACATGATTTAAATTGTATCTACAACGTTTCACACACCGTATACAACATAGTCAATTTAATGTAAAACTGGAGCGATTGGGAAAGTTCCGACCTTGAGTTGATCGTCATTACAATTACATAGTTGCTAGTGAGTTTGACTTGGGTGCTGAGCAAAGTTAATATTTTCACTGACCGCCTTATTGAATGAGTTACCTACACATGCCATTGAAATACACACTAGATGAATTTGCAAGAAATCGTGAAGGAAAATATTACGCTCTCTTTACCCCGGCTGCAACAGGCATTCTTCAACTTGAACTAATTCAGGCACTGATTCTGCCTTTTTTCCACATGATTAACTTGATTAGGGATGATGAAAAACTGAATTCAGTACCTAATGAGCAAGTTCAACAAGACGTAAGCCATTCTGAGTGTCTGTCTCTACCCCGTGTGTGCAGAGACGAGCGGCTGGCGGAGCACCTCGCAACAACTGAGCCCTCTGACACGGAAGAAGGACGCCAGGCGCCTGTCGCCGAGGCTTGCAGGAGAACGAACGATAAGACTCTCTTGGATAGGCGAGGCTTGCTGGGTGACCAGTGCACTGCTGATCCGCATGAAAGTGAGGGAATATGAGTTGCCCTAACGCTTGGACGAATCTCTGAAATTTTTGGGAAATCGCTGCTCGTAAAGACACCTTAAGACTTTGCAGACCATACTGTCGACTGTTTGGTAGAAGTGGCCCGGTCCCGATAATGTCGAAGCGCAAGGGTGTCAGTGCCGAGGAGAAGCGGACCCGGATGCTGGACCTGCTGTACGAGCGGCAGGACTTCTTCCAGCTGAAGGAGCTGGAGCGGCTCGGCCCCAAGGAGAAGGGTGTCGTCTCTCAGTCGGTGAAGGAAGTGATCCAAAGCCTGGTCGACGACGGACTGGTGGATACCGATAAAATCGGTACCTCTGTCTACTTCTGGGCGTTTCCCAGCAAAGGCGCCGCCGCCCGCAAACGGAAGCTGGCGAACCTGGAGACACAGCTGGCGCAGACGCGGCAGAAGCGGCGCGCGCTGGAGACTCAGCTGGCGGAGGCCGGCGTGGGCCGTGAGGAGGGCGCCGAGCGCAGTGAGCTGCTGCAGCAGCTGGCGGACAGTCAGCGGCGCCGCGCCGAGCTGGACGCTGAGATCAGCAGGTACAAGGACTGCGACCCGGAGGCCCTGGCGGCGCTGAGGCGCGAATCGACCACGGCCACAGAGGCGGCCAACCGCTGGACGGATAACGTGTGCCAGATCAAAACCTGGTGCAAACGCAAGTTCGCCATGGAGGAGGCCGTGATCGACAAACAGTTTGGCATCCCGGAGAACTTCGATTACCTGGAGTGATGTTGGAGAGAAGCGTGATTCGGTCATGTGCCTGGTAAAATGTGCCTGTCTGTTCGAAAGTGTGAACGTAGCTGTCAGCTGTTTTCATTTCACTTCTTAGGGAAGAGAATATGTTTAGTTGTTTTCGTAAGTGAGACACTGTTATTAGCAATTCCAGACAGCTAATGTGCATCTTTTGCTTTTTGCAAATACATTCAGAGTTTTCACGTATTGTTTGCCAGCAACACACATACTTTCCCATGCAAATGATTGCACTGGCGAACCTCCAAACGTACCGACGTATAGACGGGTCAAGTTGGCTTACCTCACATTTTACAACTTGACGCATGATGAGAATGGCGCAATACACGAGCACAACATACTCGACAACATCATGCCTGGTGAGTTGGGAGTGTCGGAAGTCTCAGTTGCTTTTTCTGTTACGTCCAGAATCACTATTGCACCGCTTGAGTGCAGACGCGGTTTACGCTTAACAGTGGGCAAACAAATCTATAAGAACCATTGCCTCACACAAAATTACTGCTCAAGAACATGTTATGACTTTCACTTTCGTGAATGTTTATCGATTTAATGCCTTCGAACTTCATCTTTAGTGGTCCGAAATCCTTTTTGCATCGCAGTTTAAAAATACTAGCGCTCACAATTCTTCTTAGATTTATGTTTGTCGGAATGGAATCCTTAAATGTGACGAAGTTTGTAAAAGGATAGGTACCTGTAGGCTAGCTGCCACTCACTCCATCGCTGTCGCTCCCCAGGAGTTGGACCGACAGCTCGAACAGCTACGTCTGAGCAGGGAGCAGGAGCGGGCGGCGGCGGCGGCGCGGCCCGGCCCCCAGGAGAGACTCATGGTTCGCGTTCAGGGGGACGAGGCCGGCCGCACTCAGTACGTGCCGGCCGGGCCGCAAATCACCATCCTGAAGAGGCCCGATCAGGCCAACCGGGAGCGGCGTAACGAGCAGGAGCGCAGCCGGCAGCCGGCAAAGACGCTGCAGCAGGTGAGGGAAGCGGGAGGGAGGAGAGAGCGGTCTCCGCATGTTGTGTTTAAATCACACCGTGAACGGAGCATGAGGGAGGGGAGGATGTTGATTCGTTCGGGTACTTCAAATAAGTATTGGTTCGATAATAGATTTAATCGTCTAACAATAAAACAAACTTCCCACATTTTTAGTGTGTTTTACGATATAGTCCCGAATAATACTGGGTTTTAGCCTTATACATCTTGGTTGAAAAGTCTCAATAGATAGAAAACAGGACTTTCTCCTTAGTTGGTGAGTCGTTCTAATGATGCCGTTGTGTTTCAGAGGGAAGCTGAGTACGCCGAGGCTCGACAGCGGATCTTAGGCAGCAGCGGGGTGATAGAGAAAAATCAAGGATCGGAGAGGTAAGATCATTACTGAGTGACAGCTGTCCGAGGCGTCATTATTTGATGGTGCGTAAATCCCCATATTCCAGAGCTCAAGATCTTCACTTTCATAAGTGTCACATTTCATCGTCACTTCGATCGGCTGTTGTAGATGATAACACTCACAGCGTATGTGACTACTTAACTTGTTTAGAAATATAGTTTTCGATATAACGCAAACAACAACGTTTTTATACAAGTTATGAATAGAGTACGTCGGCTTCTGCATGGCTCTGTCATTCGCGCTTTGAGCTGTTGTGTTCATTCATGTCCGTCTGTGTGGTCCGGTCCGGCCGATGCTGTTCTCCGTCGCCGGGCCGAGTCTGGATTGACCTGTGCCGCTGACTGACCTGCCCTCTGTTTCCCCGGTCCAGGTCAGCTCCTGTTGAGCTGCTGAGGAATAAGCAGTCGGCGCAGGCCGTGTGCCGTCAGCCGCGCGGCCCCGACGGCACAGCCGGCTTCCAGCTGCGCAGATAACGCCGGAGACGGCACCTCTAGACACCACAGAGCTATTTTTATAGTGATACCACTGATGCTGAGACACACTCGCGGTTGTTGTGGCGTCCCCTGTGGCAGCGGCGGTATCTGAGGAAAACCCGAGCTGCCTCAGGCCGCGGGTCCACCGGACACCAACTGTGATCGGAGTGGTAGCGCGCAGCCAGCGAGTCAGACGACTGATCTAGGGAATGTGGTATGATTCGGACGTGGGACTGTTGAAACAGCGGCAGTGACGCGACATGGTACACGGGAGAAGGAGCTGGGCCGTTATACACGGCGGTAGCGAGAGAAGAGTTAAGTCATTTAAGGACGATATGATAACGTGATGCGAGCGAGGAAGTCGCCCAATGATGTGGAATGAAAGACGTCACCTGATAACGATGCAGCAATGTGATGTGGTGAAGTGATGGACGTGACGTCGCGTGATGACGTGATGGTACTGAAGTGATGCGAGTGATGACGCTAGGCCAGAACGTGGAGAAGCACGGACTAGGGTGTACGTGACACCACAGTTGTAGGACGGCTGGTACGTGAGCGAGCAATGGAGGAACTCTGGACTGGGAGGACGCGAAACTGGTAACATTTATGGCGTGCAACTGAACTTCCTGCGATATCAGTGAACGTGTGACTGGCGTGGTGTAAATGTTTACGTGATGTGGCGATTTATCATATCGGGGCTTTGCATTACGTGTAATCTCGTCTTTTTCGTTATTCGTTTAGGTCTAACCTCGAGGCGTGCAAATTTTCTTGCTTTTGCTTGTTTTTATTTTGCAGTCCTGTCCGAATCGACAGACGAGACATGTCATCATGAATAGTCGCAACATTCTTATAAGAACATCGGTTCCATCGCCATATTTTTTTCCTATGCGGTTTGGTTACATCGAATGCTTATGTGTTTATGTCTTCAGTTATCCAGTTATGTCGCATTGTAAGTGATGACCGAGGCGAAAACTCCGTGCGCTGGAATGTCTGTGCTTGTCCGATATGAACCCGCTCGGCCTTACATCATGCATTCACGTGGGACTGCGTCCCTGTCACAACGATTTTGTATACTGTGGTGAGCCATGTTTTCATACTCCCGTTTTGTGGCAGTTGCGTCGAAATATTTTACATAAACTGCGAGCCGTTTGGAAATAAATGTCTAATTATGCCTTATTGAACCTCTTTGTAACATTGTGGGCTAATCAATGATAAAATTGAAACGGCGGAGTGAAATGTTCTTTACTGATGTGCGTGCAGCCGTGTCGTTTAGAATCTACGATGCTCGTAGGAGTTCAACAGCCTTGGCTCGTAGCGTCGGTGTTTCGATTGCCTCGGGCGAGGACCTCGGGGTCGCTTGCGTTGCCATAGCAACCGATGACACTTAGCAACCGACGAGGCATGGAACGAGACAATCGTCTTCATTCGATATTCGCTTTGAGAAATTGTAGAATCACTTTGCAGAGCAAAGGAAAGTTGTCGAAATCGGTCACATTATATTTTGCGTGTTGTTAATGCCAAATTTTGTGCACTACATATGTAGCCTTTGCCTCTTGTGAGTGGATTGTTGCTGATCACCCCGTTGTCGGCAAGTAAGGAGGTATGTCATCAACTACAGAAAGGCCGTGATGCCTGAGTCGTATGTTCTGTTTTGCTTCTGACTGCCAGTGAAACAAGCTAGCATACCTACTCCTCATTTGTGACACATCAAACGCGTACTGCTTCACAAAAGGACAATTCTGTGAACGCTATGCCCATCAAGCACACAATGCTTAACGGTGCGAATTACAAGGGACTGGTTTCAGAGTAAGATTCTCTCAGAGAACGAAGCTGCCGTTTTATTCGTTACATGTGCGTGCGACACTAACCAGTTTGCTATTTATCTACTCGCAGGGCAAGATGTCTCTACCATTTCTGCCAGGATATTCAGAAATTGGAAAGGTAGGTGGAACGCTTCCTAATTCGATAGTGCTTAATAGAAATGAGAGAAGCGTACGTGGGCGAAAGGCCCTTGACATGCCTGCTCACATAGCGAATGTGATATAAAATTTGGCTATTTGGTTGACAGGCATCATTGGAACCGTTTCGATCGACTGGTTTGCCGGTCTCACCTTGTCCTGCAGACCGTCTAACTCATGCCATCCAACTTACGAATGTACTGATGCCGTTCTTTCGCGCTTTTGCTTTTATAGAGGATGCATTCCCTGAAGCCGGGATACCATCTCCCTCATCGATTTGACTTCAAGGAAGACCAACGATTCTATATCGACCAGGTAAGACGGTCAGTTATAAAAACACCAAAGTTCGGCCGATCAGTCGACTAAATAGTCTTACTCCAGCATGCCTTCTTTACACTCAAAACCCTCATTCAGAAAAACAATCCATCTTATGATCGACGCTCGACACTCGACAGCTAATGAGAGTGATAAATCACTATGTAAAACTAACATATATGCAGGAATAATAATCAACTTAGGCCGTCAATAATTAAATGTATTCTCATTACGACCTCTGCTTACGCGCTTTACGCTGCAGTGCAGTAAACACATGTCTCAATTGACGTGTGTCCCTACGGTGTCCTAGTGACCTTTTCCTTGTTGAATCCCACAGGAGATCGGCAGCCGTGACCTGCCCCGACCCGGCTGGACCAAGCGGATCCCGCGTCACAGTTTCTACCCTCGGACAGCCGGGCCCGGTCTGCCCGCCTGGGTTGCATTCGATAAACAGGTGACCGTCTGACATCTCTCTGGTACCTACTCATAGTGTTTAGAATAGAGCTTACCTTTCCGAATTCGCATCGATCATTCGACTAAATTTATCCAAATTTGCTGCTTCACTAAGTCTTATCTTAATCAATAGTCGTTGCACTGTATCCTTATAATCGGAATGCGATAACATTAAAACATTTGCACCGTCTAAGTTGAACTTGAAATAGCTCATATGGCTGTTTCCGAATTGCCATTGACGGCACATCACATGTTTAGTGTATACTGTAGTAAATACTGTATACTGAGCCCGGTGCGACTGAACCACCAGACTGACGCATACCTTGCCAATCGCTGCCAACGTCAGGTCCTGCGCTTTCGCGGCTACTACACGGACAGGGTGGAGAACTCCCAGCTGGAACGGGGTCGGATCCGTGCCGTCAAGATCCACTTCTACCTGGAGGACGACACCATAGAGGTGATCGAATCCAAGTGGAAAAACAGCCAGCTGCCCCAGGGTGAGGAACGCCGCTTTGGCAGTGATCGGCCGTGACTCGTGAGACGAAAGTGGACAAACATACCGTTTGTTGTGCAGTCAGGTTCGTTGATGACATATCTTATGCTTACCCGTTTCCTACATTTTGTGATTCACTAATTTAATATTTCTTCGTAAATGACTATGCAGTTGATGCGCACGGGAGTCGTAATTCACTTCACGCATGTAGGTACCTATATTTATTTCTGATGTCCTAGTCTGCAGAGTAACCCATCTCGTATTGTAAGCATTTAGTGGTCACTTCCATCATACCACCCCTCCATCCTGTGGTTTCCAACTTCCCAGGCACGCTGCTGCACCGTCACCGAGTGCCCCTACCGGAGCCGGACGATTGTGAGTTCTACACCATCGAGCACCTGAACGTGAGCCGCGACCTGCCGCTCTACGGCACCATTTACCACATCACCTCGTGCGACACGTTCACACGCAACTTCCTGTCCAAGCTGGGCGTGCGCGTCAACCCCGACTCTTGCATCCCCAGCGACCCGTACATGGAGCAGAGAAACGACGTGAGTGTGACGTCACGTTACTGAGACGATTGGGATGCGTCTTGTTGACATGAGTGGAGAATAGTGATAAAATCTGGCATGAGGATAGTGAACCAGTTTCATGTCATGTGAATAGTGGTTGAGGCTGCCAGCTCGTTTTCATATCCATAAAGACCTTTCGGATTGTAATTGGGATAACGCGGTTGGCACTTGGCAGCCCTCCGGTTATTGCTGGCTATCGAATGGAAGTTTTAGTGATTTCGGTCAAATGGTAGGCCATGCCTTCAGTGCGCCGCACAAACAGTGCATATCCAGCCACTGCGACAAGCTACACTTTGCACTCACCACCTACCGTGCCAACAAATATATTACACTTCTGCCTATCATCTTACAGCACGAGCGCTCTATGCGTCCGCTGAAGCCTTACAAGAAGGTGGACACTTTGGGCCAGTTTCTGCACTACGACGGTAAGGTGCTGCGTTTCTGGGGCTACTGGGACGACCGTCCGGTGCCGCACGGCGAGCTTAGAGACCTGGTGCTGCTCTACTATCTGGCCGATGACACGGTGGAATTAAAGGAGATCGTCGGACATAACGCCGGGCGATACAAGGCGCCCAGCCTGGTGCGACGCGGCAAACTACCCAAGGTGAGGGTGGGGGAGGGAGGAGGAGAGCGGGAGATGAGAGGGAGTGCTTTATTAGTTAGTTCTCTTGTGGAATATGCGTAAAAGTCTCTTTCGGAAAAGACGACACACTGGTAGTCGCACGTCTCTTATTGTCTGAAGATATAAACCCGGTCTGCCTGACCAGACCCGTTCACTGCCGTTCCGCAGCAACTGAAGGCCCAGCCGCGTCCCGGAGTCGAGTGTCCCCGTACAGTACTCAATACGTTCGGAGATATCTACGGCAAGGGCATGGGCCGCCACTTCATCTTCGACAACCTTAACAACAACTACCATCCGTCCGACTTCTACCAGTAAGTACGGTCGTTCGGAGTTTGTTTGCTTCATCGTACAATCTCACATTTGTCTTGCTGTTATGGATTTGATGTGTAACGTTGCCGGCTAAGCTCCAGTACCTACGCTGATTTAGGCTATGGCGATAAAACAATGACAGAGTGCGAACTGACTGCGCGAATACTTGGTAGGTCAGCCAAAGTCAGCCCTTGTCTAGATTTATGGCTGGCTGCTTATCCATACTAATGCATCTCCACAAGAGGTATTATTCTATGTTCAACACTATGTCTGAACAC